GGAATGGAGTGCGGGGATGGAGGGGACGGGTATGATGGTGGAATGGAGTGCAGCAGAGTGCAGGGGTCGGTAGTAGGTGCAGCAGAGTGCAGGGGTCGGTAGTAGGTGCCGCAGGGGTCGGTAGTAGGTGACGCAAAGTTGAGACTCCAGTAAAAACATCTACCCCCGCCAGCTAAATTTGTCCACAGAATTAATTCCCCTATCCATTTTGTAAAATTCACTTGCCATACCTCAGATGCAGGTCTCCCCTCAACTGTGTCATATGTCATGTTGGAGCTGAGGAGGAGCCTAGGATTCCTCTTGACTCCGCAATGCCTATTGCAGGAGTAAGGCAGAGTGCAGAGGCCAGGTGTATATAATGCACAGTGCAAGGATCTGGAAAATGTAACAAGAGTTCAGAGGTAAGGAGTATATACCGCAGAATGTAGAGGTCAAGAGTAAGTAACGCAGAGGTTACGAATGCTAGTATATAATGCACAGTGAAGGGATCAGGCATAAGTAACGCATAGTGCAGTGGTCAGGAGTAAATAACACAGGGTTCATTAGTATAATGAATAGTGCAAGTATCTGGGTAAGTCAGTTGTGTTACACTTTGAGTTGTCTGTATTGCTTAAAGGGTGCACGTCAAACATCTAAAGCTCCTAAAATATAATGCAATATATGTTATGCTTATAGTTTTAATCTCCGCAATCTTTCCCACCACAGGGCAAAAGACAGCATGTACCATACTCTTGGATACAGCACTATCTTGGTTATGCAGGCAGCAATGACATTTGAGCCACAGGATATTCAAATGGGAATTGGTACAATGAAGGAGGCTTTACAAACATGTCAGAGGTATACTTTTTTTTACTTTTACATGATGTGTGAGTGGTATAGACGTAAGAGGAGCTTAATGCTTAGAACTTAGAGGGTTTCTCCATTTTATTCCAATCCCAAGCAGTTTCTTACCACAAGGATGTTACCCTCTTTCCACTCTCTTGTAAGCAGTAGAAGGATATTCAGCTAAGCAGCATTTATATTAAAAATGGCCACAACACAATCCTAGTAAAGTTGCTTTTACTTTTGTCAGTAAACATCTAGACGAGATTGAATTTTTAGTTTTGGCTATATGGCCATCTACTCCATGTTCATAACTGACCATGTCTGAGTAAGGGAAAAAACTCTTGAATGATGCAATAACTGCTTTCTGACAAATGACATTTTAAAACTGTGCTCATTCATGGCATAGTGTAGGTTGTGGGAACTGAAACATATATTATGGGTGCTGAGTTCTGGGAATAAGCAGCTTTGCCATTGCAAAGAAGTTTGGTGAAAATGTAATTTCTATTTGAATGGCGCCTTTTTGTCTCGTCCGCTATTACGCTATTGTGCGTGTGTGTGTGTGTGTGTGTGTGTGTGTGTGTATATATATATATATATATATGTATGTATATGTATGTATGTATATATATATATATAATTTTTTTTTACTGTATATAGATATGTTGGTACAGTGGGACTATTTGCTGTTAAGTGTAGAGCAGAATATTCTGATTTATGGCCCTGCACGGCCATTTCCGCTGCCTGCGGCTTTTTGGACTGTGCATGCAATTCTGATTCTTCTGTTCCTCTGTAATATCAATGGACAAGTTAACTTGGATCAGTTACCAATAAATTATATCTAACTTTTATGTTGTAAAATGCTGTTATGCTTTACCCAGAATAGAAGACTTTGCATTTCATATGATCTACATTGTTTCTTTCTTACTAAAGTTGATAACATTTATTTGTATTTTTTTCTGTAGATTCAGAAAAAGAAATTCAGTGGTAGAATCTTTATCTAACTTAGTGTCCAAACAATCAGGAGAGCAACTTTCTGAAGGTAATGATTGAATTTAGTCCTTGAAGTTTAAATAGAAAGAAAATAAAGATGGAAAGTGTGTAAAACCATCCGTGACACTAAACGCAGGAGTTAAATCTTAAAAATGAATTCCCTATTAACAAAAAACTTAACTTTTTTTTTTTTTGTGTATCAGTCAGTTGTAGATCCTCCAATCATCTCTGAATTTGTGCCGTTACTGTCTTTCCTTCTGGAGGGTGGCTGTTCCCACTGGTCTCTGTGTGTTGTAAAATAGCCACTATGTCAAGCTCACTCCCATGATGGACTACAATCTCAATACAAATTAGCTAACTAAATATGATATTGTAGTCCATCACAGGAGCGAGCTTTGAGCGGTGGCTACTTTACAACACACCATGGGGAACAACAGTAGCCACCCTCCAGAAGGAAGGACATTGTCGGCACCAAATCAGAGATGATTTAAGGATCTACAGATGAGTGATAACAAAAATGTAAAAATGTATCTTATTTGTGTAATAGTTAAGGTACTTGAATGCATTTTTAAGATCGTACTCCTGAGTTTAGTGTCACTTTAAGGAGGAGGTTAAATCATGCCTATATGTCCAGATGACACAGAAAAGTGAGGTACAGTCATGCTAGTTTGGTTCAGTGTTCCATATAAACATACCCTTGAGCTACTAATTATTTTTTTTTTTTTGTGGGGATTTTTTCCCCCACAGTGCCACTGAGAAATGCCAAATACATATGTGAATTTTTGGAACTGAGTATAATTAAAAAAGAACCAACTTCTTTAAGCTTGTTTGTCCCAATGTATTTTCGGTCTTGCATTTTAACTTTTTTGTTTATGGTTTTCTTGATCGTACATCGCAGGGCACAGGGAGTTCAGGAACTGATGATTTATTCAGCTACTTGCAGGTGATTGTATAACCCCTCCCACTGCCAACTTGCCTTAGTTTTTTGCTATTGACCTTATGCAGTGGACACACACTCTTTTTGGTCTAAGCGAAGCACATCTTTTTTTTATTTTTGTTTCTGTACTTTTCTGCTCAAGACTCTTTCCCTTAGATCCATTGATAGATTTTCTCCTCCGCAGAGCCTTGGCGGACTATACTCAGACTCTGCTGGAAGGAAGATGTAGAGCCAGCCTATATTGTTCTTGGGGCACTGGCTCATGTGTTGGGCAATCACTTTTTCGTTGGCGCGTGGTCCCTGATGACCCCTTTCGAGCATTATGCCCATCAGGAGAGCGAAGATAGGTTGGGGCATATGTCCCCTCTTGTTGCTGCTGCTCTGAGGGTCAGATAATCCAGGGCTAGTACCTCTTGGAGGTGGGCATTGTGTGGGGGGGAAGCGGGCATTTCATTGCTCCCATAGGCGACCTGTAAAGCCACACAGCACCCGGGCAACCTCCCCCAGGGGTATTGTACTGCCATTTTCTATCTCTTGGCATGTGCTGAGCTGTCCACCCTGTTTCTTGGTTGCTGGCTTTAACAGTCTGACTGTTAAAGCTCAATTCCTGAAGGACAGAGACCTTTTGGATGCTGTCATTCTTGCGCTACTGAAAGCTAGAAAGTCTTCTCCCACAAGGTCTACTAGCGCACCTGACTTATTTCTCTTGGTGCAAAGCAAGGATTTTTCATCCTAGGAAGTACTCCATGGGATGCATCTTATCCATCCTCCAGTCTGGCATACACCAGCGTTCAGCTGTGAGTATTCATGAGGGCCAAAATTCTGCCTTGGCAATTTTTTCCAGAGGCTGCTTGCCTCTCACTCACTGGTGAAGGTAAATATCCTCCTAGATATTCATCTGGCCTTACTCACAAGGTTCCTCGTACTACTGTGCCTCACTCTCTGGTGAAGGCTTTTGTACAGGGGTTGATCATGTTGTCCAACCTCCCCCCTCCTGTAAGCACTCTGGTGCCTCAGTGGGAACTCAACTTGGTCCTATTAGCACTGCAGAAGCTGAACCTTTATTCACTTGGCCTTACCCATTCGCAAGGTGGCCTTCCTTCTAGTCATTACTGTCAGGCATGTTTCTGAATTGGTGGCATTGACTTGTAAAATGCCTTTTCTTGTTATCCTCAACAATAGAGTAGTGCAGTGGCCTACGGCCTTCTTTCTTTCTAAGTTAGTCTCTACCTTCCAACTTACCCAGGGCATTTTCCTACTGTCCTTATGTCCTGCTCCTAAGCATTCTAAAGAAATTTCTCTCCACTGTTTGGACATGGTTTGGACCATTATTATTTATCTCTTTGCTACTGCTTCCATCTGCAAGCCTGACTCCCTCTTTGTCATCCCTGAGGGTCCCTGTATGGGGAAGCTAGCTTCTACTGTTGCTAGGTGGATTTGGCAAACTATCAGTCTGTGTTTTAGCAGGTGGGCATTCAGGCCTCTGTGAATGCTAGCTTAGGCTATATGGTTCTTCAGACAGCCCTCTGCCTTGTAGGCCTATTCTGTTATTGTTCCATGTTGGAGTTTGTTTCTCATGGGCCTGTTGGCTATGATTTGCTGTGTTGACCGACAGCTTTTGAATGTCACATCCATTCCAGAATTCACTCCCTGTGACCTGTAATGTATGATGAAGAAATAGATTTAACAGGTAAGACAAAATTTCTGTTTCCTTGAAATACCTCAAAGGGCCCTCCCTTACCCTCCCTTCTGATTTCTGTGATACATGTTTGCCCTGCTTGCGTTATGCAGGGCTGTCCTTTCAGCTTTGATTTTTCCAGTGTCCACCTGAAGGTAGCTGCATAACCCATTGGTTTCATAAATGTATGTGTTGTAAACAAAAATTTAGTTTCTCCTAATACTCTTCCATGTATGTCCTTATTTTTCTAGTACAAGCGTAAAATGTCCCTACCTTCTAATTGTGTCTACTTTTTTTAAACATTTTCAATCCTTGCCCAATGTGGCCCTGATTTCTTTGCAGTGCTGCTTAGTATGTGCTTTTTAGGCATGTTCATATTACAGTTGGCAAATCATTGAATCCATCTTTTCTTCCTTTTTTTTTTTCCTTTATCATCTTCCTGACATGTATTACTCATTGGTTCTGCATGTTAGCAGTAAAAAGCAATAGATTAAAGAATGAGGAAGGGGTAGAGACGATAAAAGGTATGAAAAAGGAGTAACCAAGTTCAAGTTCATCATAGTATAAATACATTAAAATAAAATTTGTCACATGAACAACTATTGGGGTTGCAAACCTGTCTATTTGGGACACCTCCGTTTTATAGCAACTTTGAGGTGTACAGGAGATGCATCAGTGTGGAAATCAAATGGAATCACCACTCTATCAGACATTATAGGAGGGTACTTTACTGTCATTTATGCAACTTCAAGAAAAATATAATTTACCACAACATTTTTTGTTGATATTTGCAAGTGAGGCATGGACTGTGGGGGTGTAGTTTGGAAGTTAGGAGAGATTTCTACATATTAATTGATAGGCATAATAAACTTATTCAGTTGTAAATAGTTCATGGGACATACCTTTCTACCACCTGCCTACATAAAATGGGTCATTTGAGTACCAAAAATTGCTGAGACGTACTCGCCCATAGGCATATTTTTTACACTTACTTTGGTCCTACCTGGTGATAATAGCATATTGGTTTCAAGTGGTTACATATGGACTTCCACGCTGCAAATTTTTATATCGCTCACTCCTTAGATTTGTATATTTGGCATGTTGGATGAAGAGCTATGGCCAAACTGTACTTGAGTTTTTTAAAGGGAAAGTATTTTATGGCCCACAAGATGGTCACAAATGCGTGAATAAATCCATTCCCTCCCATAGTGGTCCAACAGCTAGCATTAAGTAATCAAATTCTTCCCAATGAGAGGGTCAGTTATGATGACTTAAACTGCCCTCTTAAATTTCTGGAAATCTGGGATCCATTGTACAAATTTACATTCACCAACAACCCAGAATAAAACACTTAGATTGTACACAGCTGTCACTGGAACAGGAGGTGGGAGGCAATCTTCCATACAGACACCAGTTCTGGTGACAGGTGTCCTAAAGGAGGTATCCTCTCACCTTAGGTTCCTCTAACTTTTTGTAGTGTCTCTGAAATAGGGTTGCCACCTTTTCTTCCATCGAAAACCCGAACACTCTAGCGACGCACGGAATATTTTTTTGGGGAGAATGAGTCGCGGCTTATTCATATGTAAATAGCGTCACCCATTTACAGTCGGGACTATTTTCAGTGGGGGGACAGTAGCCACTATCTTAATTTTGGTTGCCCCTGGTCTGCCTGACATCTTGTGTCCAGGTTTCAGCTGCCATGAAACCCGGACAGGTGGCAACCCTACAGCGTTGTATGACTGAATAGATGTCAAAGTATCACAGCGCTGAATACTGAAAAATGGCCTGGACAGGAAGGGGGTTTAACACCCCGGTCAGCAAGCGGTTACAGCGGACCTTTACCCATATCTTTAACGTAACAACAAACACACCCTTTAGAAATGTTTAGTAATGGCAATCTACAAACACATATTTCTAGATATTTGCAGGCTTTGTATTCTTTGCATAACTTATTTCTCTTTTCTTCCCCAGTCTTCTGACAGTGACCATGTTTACTAAGAGCAGAATAATAGTTCTCATTTTACTCCCTTGATTTCTGGCACATGTGACCATGCAGGTCATCTCAGGGGAGGAAAATACCTTTCCCTGAGATCACCTGAGATTATAGATGAGATTTCCCAGCAATGCTCTGCTGATAAGGCAATCCCTGTGTGCATTGCTTTGGCAAACTGAAGTCATTTTGCCCTTACAAAGCAGGAAGTGTATGTTCTGCAAGTGTCAGTATTTCACATGTCTGTTATTCTTAATCATCATACAAAGTGGGATGCATTGGTAGAATTTGAATTTTGAGTGTAACGATCCGTTTTAAGCTTTCTTTTAAATATAGACATATAAGCTTTCTTTTTCAGATCAACTCTGGTTGAAAGACTGTCAGTTCATAAATCTAGTGCCTTTAATCCCTTACTTCTCATTACAGAACCTTGGGCTTTCCTGCAGTGCTTAGACTCTAATTAGAAGAACTGTGTAATATAGCAGATGTCAGAGCCTGCGACCTTCACATTTTCTAACCCTGTCTCTCAATTTGTTTTTCAGAGGAAATGCACGCTGAGATCTGCTATGCTGAATGCCTCCTGCAGAAGGCTGCCTTGACATTTGTACAGGTAATGGGCATGTCACAACGTCCTCCGAATGGCCATGGTGTATTCTTCACTAAGCATGGGATAAGACTGATGCAGCTGAGCGTCTGTCAAATATTTGGAAACCTAATTTCCCTTGTACATTAAAAGCATTACAGTGCAGCTTAATTGTGCCTCAACATGCTTGATAAATCCTGGTGATGTTCATTGCGCATTTTATACAGAATTAAAAAATAATTTTAAATATTGTTTTTCTATTTCAGATGTAGACTTACAGTAGTCTGCGTGCTTACCAAAGAATTAATTGCAAAAAACACATGGCCCATGAGGACATGACAAATGTTCCATTTGTTTATAATAGTTAAGTGTGATAGCTTTCCTGGAGTTACATAACCGTGGTTTAAGATATGTAACTGAAATCAGTTTGCATTAGGCTAAACTTAAATAGACTCTAGTGTACTAGTAACATTTGATATCTGTTTTGTAGTGACTGTGCACTCTTGGCTGCTAGTCTACAGGGCATCTTTTATTTGTGTGATAACATGGTCAACATCTGTGCCCTGCTGGTATTCTTTCTAGAACCTTTTAGTAACTAAGATCATTCTTAGTAGATGTAAGCAAAATTAGCTTACGCAAATTGTGTTTCCCTAAGGGCTCATTCACATGGACCTGCACAGCCATACAGCATGTACCTCTGTGCAAAACGGACAGCTGGTGTGTATAGCTGTGTGCAGCACCCTGTACAACTCAATGACAGGACGCAGCTACAAGCTGACCCAAACTTGCACATCTGTACAAGTCACATTTTTGGGCACGGAAGGGTGTGGGAAACTTAATGACATAGTGACCTCATGTGGCCATGGCTCCAAGTTATCTAAGTTTAGTTAACTTTGGTTAAGTTAATAAACTTAACCAAAACTGTAAAAAAAAATAAAAAAAATAGGCTGCCCAATTCCCAGCCAAGTTTGGCAACACTCCATATTTATCATTTAATCATAATAGAGTTATTTCTGGTACATTTCCTATGTTTTACATTGTTTTTTGCACACCTTTTTTTTAGATCTTGAGTTTTCTTTCTTTTTTTTTTTTTTTTTCTCCCCAGTGGCATCATAAGGGGTGGGGGTGCGGCCCGCCTTTGGTTTGGCTTATTGTGTTCTCTTTACATATAAACTAGAAAAAAAAAAATGCACCAAAGGAGTTGTTGTCTCTTATGTTAACCAGTTGACATCCGCAGTGTTAAACCCCCTTCCCATCCAGGCCATTTTTCAGTATTCAGCGCTGCGGTACTTTGACTGACATTTATTCCGTCATGCAATGCTGTACTGAAATGAATTTTATACCCCTACAGAAGTACATGATCACATCACATTATCACACTATCACATTGCACAATGAGCAGAGTGATCTGTGACAAGGGATGAATATTGATGTGGGAACAAAATAACATTTTGTAAATGCATTTTATAGTTTGTCAGGAAGGTATAGAATGTTTTGGGAAATTTGGAAATATTAAAGGAAAGCTATTTATAAAGATCTTTTTGCTAGTCCTTGATCCTGCTGGCATCTATCTATCCCAATATTACCTTTTAAAAATTCTTTCTTGACTTTGGTCCACATCTACAGGATTTGTGAGAGGTTGAAATTGATAGACATTTGTTTTGTTTGTGGGTTTTTTTTTCCAAACAGATGTAACCATAAATATGTTATATGTGACAACCAGTCATATGGTAATTTCTTAGAGGAACATTACCCATATTTTCAAAATAACAACAAAGACACCTTTTAAAAATGTTTAGTAATGACAATCTACAAACACACACTTCTAAATAATTGCAGGCGTTTCATTTTTTGCATACCTTTTCTTTTCTTCCCCAATCTTCTGACAGTGGCCATTTTAACTAAGGGCAGGTTACTAGATCGCCCTTTACTTCCTGGAACTCTGGCACATGTGACTAGGACATGTGACCATGCACATCATCTCAGGGGAGGAACATGCCTTTCCCTGAGATCTTGTGAGATTACAGATTACATTTCCCAGCAATGCTCTGCTGATGTAACCTTCCCAGGATGCAACACTTGGGCACATTACATAATTTGTGCCAAAGTGGACCAGGAAGTGAGAAAAAAAGAGATTTTAAGTAAAATAAAAATGTTTAGCTAATGAATGTAAGATGGTTTCATATTAGCATGCAGCGCTGCATGCTGAGGTTATTTTTGGTCAAAGGGGGCAAAGATCTGCTTTAACTTGCCTTTGAAAACTGACAGAATCTCAGCACCACCATTGTATGTACCTGCAGGTTTTACTTACATTAGCCCTTCTATGACCAATAAGGAGTAATTATAATTTAGCTGATGTTCCAGTTTAAAAGGAATGCATTCATAACATACTAAAAAAGCCATGATGGATACCTGGAATAACAACTTTTTTTTATTGTTTTTTGCCCAGGATGAAAACATGATCAATTTCATCAAAGGTGGGCTCAAAATCAGGACAAGTTACCAAATCTACAAGTATGTTTCATAGAGTAATTTGTACCCTTTCTTGCAATGCTGACTATTCTCATTTGTGACTTGGGTTTTGAGTTGCGCATAAATACATTTATATATTTTAATTTTTAAGAGAATGCCATCAAGTTCTTTCAGGAATGACCAAAGACAAGAACTGCCGTGATACTCACCATCAGTTTGAAGGAGGTGTTAAACTGGGCATAGGAGCCTTCAATTTGGTAAGATTTTATCTACAGTGACTTACTGGCAAAGTTTCATAAAGGCTAAGGGAGAACTACCATCAGTATTTTATGTGTTTTATATGTGCACAACTGGATAACTGGTTTTTACATTAAACCAATTCTTCTAGAATGCTTGAAGGGGAAAGTTGGTTGTCCATTGGTGGGGCTTGTATAGGCATCTTCTAATGTGTAGCGCTCACCCCTGGAGGGGCTGCTGAATATGAACTTGGGCTCTCCTACCTGTTTTGCCAGCCACGGGCCCCCTTTCTCAGATCTAGCAACACTGACACTCTGGAGACAGAACAGGCTCAAGTCATAGGGTCTTTTCAGTATTTATTTGCAGGATCAACAGGAGAGTGGGTTTGGAATTTGTAGGATACCCGGGTAATACTTCAGAGGACTCTGCATTCCCCCATAGCAACGGCTAAATTCAATAATACAGTGGTCCTATCAGAGCAACCAATAATAAGAATAGTACAGTGGACAGCCAGGGTAGTCCAGGATCTTGGGAGAGAGAAACTATCTCTGGACTCATAAGCAACAACTGGCTTCTTCTATAGCAAGCACCTGAGAATAGGGTGAGGGATCTCTTACAGTGTTCCAGACAGTAGCTCTCACCAGCTCCTCTGCGACACTCCTCGTCAAGTAGATTCCACCTCCAGCCCAGCTTCCATCAGATGCAGCTGCAAGAAAAACCTGAAGTCTCTGTGCCCTCAGCATCTGCCACTTGCTAAGGTGCATGCCAGATATCCAGTAGTTACTTCTGCTTCTAGGCCCCCAGCACCTGCCACGTGCTGAGGCCCAAGCAAAGCATCTGTAGTATCCTAGGCCTCTAGGCCCCCAGCACCTGCCATGTGCTGAGGCCCAGGCCAGTCACTCACTTGCATCACACAGGCCTCCTAGGGAGAGGCCCCTGGAGGGGAGAGAGCTCTGCACAGTGTCCCCAAACCTTTTATCACCTGTCCTCAGCCATACCTCTGAGTCATCCTACTCGGGGATTGGCTAGAGCTGGGCACACAGTCACAGTTTGAGGATGGATCCTCCCTCACGGTTTGCGGAGTCCCCAACCCAGCAACAGGAGGAGCAATCAATCCAGCAAACTCAGGGACACCTGTAGAGTGCAGAACTCTGAATAATCAGCATCTAGACTGGTTACAGTTCAGATATTCACTAAATTTGATAGCGACATTCTAGAGGGCGCTACAGATGTTTAATGGACAACTGTACTTTTGGTGCAACCCACTTGTTCTAAAGCTTGCCTTTGCCCCTGTTGAAGTGATTTTAAGGGCACGGCCATTCCTGAAGCAGCATAGTCTTTATTACGTGCCCTCGATGGGCTCTCTTCATCCTGTGCACACACCACAGCCCTATTCATTTTTACAGGGAAAGCCATGCTCTTCAGGACTGCTGGAGGCTGCCATGAGTACAGATGAAGAGAACCTAGCAAAGACTCTTTCTAAAGAAGGGCTGCCTGTCCCCAAGTAGGGCCACGCAGTGTAGATCACGAACAGGGACAGAGGTCAGTAACAGACCAGAAGAGCTGCACTTGGAGTGTTGCTTCATGCCTTAAAGGACAACTTGTACCAAAGTTACATTTTGTCCTTTTAATGGAAAATTAGCAGCAAATTCTTTTATTTTTTTATTTAACTGCATGCATGCCAAGTAATATGTAGGTGTAGGTATTTATTACCTTTTCAGATCGCAGCACTAACCTAGGCAATGCCCTTTTTTGCTTTTCTCTTGAGAAAGGGGGCATTATCTTTGCTCAGGCATCATCCAAATTCAGCATCTACTTCCTGGACTGACATGCTGGGGGCAGAAAAGCTGGAGGAAATGCTTCCTCCTGTCTGCAGCAGACTGATCTTATCTTGGTCTAGGCACAGTCGATGACTCGCACTCGTGATAAATGTTCACGTTCATGGAACCATGCTGCTCACCTGCTCAATTGTAAATTTTATATCTCGAGGTACAAAAGTGCCTACTCATACACTCCTGTACAAATTGTGGAAAGGCATTCATTTTCATGGCTACTGTTTTGTTCTACTTGAGCTGTTAATAAATCTATGGTCAAGAAGATGAGCAGCATGGTCTCATTTTTTTTTTTTCTTGGACAGTTATCTTGTGAAATACCGTGTTTCCCCGAAAATGAGACAGTGTCTTATTTTTTTTTTGCACGAAATAAGACACTAGGTCTTATTTTCGGGGGATGTCTTACCTGGCTGGGGGAGGAGTGGACGAGGTCCCGGAAGTCGGCGTGCTGTTGCCGGTCCCGGCGGATGTCGCTTCCATCGTGCGTGACCAGGCAAGGTTTGGGAGTCACCAACTGCTACTGCCTAGGTGGAAGATATATGCCGGTCTCTTTTGCGCCAGCAGTGAGTTAAGTGCTTATGACGCGCTCAAGGATGGATTTTTAATGATAAAAGGGATATCTTTGTTGCTATACATTGTGGCATTATTAATGCACACTTGTAAAGTTATGAACAGGTCCACTTTAAATGTCAATCATGTATACAAACAAGTGGTGTGAATATATGGTAAACATTCACTTGCAATTGTTATTTTGTTCTTAAATTATTTAGTGGCTGGAGAGAAGCTTATTTGCCTTGCATTCTGCATCTCTCTGACATATCTTGGTTTGTAACTCTTTAATTTGTTTTCTGTAGATGCTTTCTCTTTTACCTTCAAGGATACTCAGGCTGTTAGAGTTCATTGGATTTTCTGGAAACAGGGTAATTGACATTTGTAATATTTTATAGTATTTTAAAAAATGGTACATACTAGTTTGCTGCATGATATTCTGATGTAATTATATCTTATTATAGGGCAATTCTAATATCTGCACCCCCTGAATGACAAATAACGCATTTGGGACATTTAAGATAAGCGAAGCATAATAATATCTATCTCTATCTCGAGGTTCTTCAGTTCAGCATTTACAGTGCAGCAGCCTGCTTTTATAGGTTAGATCAGACTCTAAAAGGTAAAGTTAACAGAAAATCTGCAGAGATGAAACCGCTTCTCCACACAATTAGAAATCACTAAGAAAGTGATAACGTTCTTGCAAGCCCCTTTGATAGCTAGGGTACAGTTGGATATAACCTGGCTGCATTTTAGTAATTTTCAGGTCTCTTGAATAATGATGTGGTGTAGTAAAGTTTCACAACGTTGAGCTGGTTTGGGTATGGTGTGATTAGAGTAACATTCCAGCTTGTAGTGCTGGCAATTTGAAAGACTCAGAAGGTAGCAACATATTCATCTTACTATGTCATGGCACATAAAATAATACCAAGGTGTATTTTTCTAGAGCAGTGAATGGGACATTCACTGAAAGTGTATCTTCCCGATGCATGTATTATAAATTAGTGATTGATTCACCTGCAGTAAATGTCACTTTCACTGCTTCAGAAATATGCCCCCAAGTATCTTTTGGAAGTCTGATACCTTGTTGAAGAGGTGGTTTTGGAGTCTGTGTTTGTTTTAATCCCCTTCTCCCAATACACAACTATCAGCTCAGGGTCACCTGAGCAAACTAGGTTCTCTCAAGGTCCCTGGTCTGCTGAAGCTGGGCTAAGCTCTTCTTTTGCAATTGGCAGTTTAAATGAGCAAAACAGCTGAGCCATACTATAATCACAAATTACAATAAACTGGTAAGTGTTTAATAAGTTTCCCACACATTTATTTTTTATGCAAGGTCCTTATTAATGGCGTTAGAGAGATTAGAGATTGGGCTGTGCTAAGCCTTAAAGCAGGCTATAAACACAACAATGGGGGGAATTTATCAAAACTGGAGCAGACCAAATCTGGAGCAGTTGTCCAAGACAACCAATCAGCTTCTCCTTTCAGTTTGTTCCATTTAGCTTTGAAAATGAAAGGTGGATACTGATTGGTTGCCATGCACAGCTGCTCCAGATTTTGTCCGCTCCAGTTTTGATCAATTCTCCTCAATGTGTTCACATGTGCAGATACGGTTTGTCTGGTGGAAGATCTTTAAAATGGATACTGACTTAAAGTAAACCGGTCATGAGAGAAATATGAGGGGGCTACCCATGCTAACCTATTTCTGAAAGTGCTAGGTGACTGGTTGTTGTGCTGACCCTTTGGTTTCAATACTTTGTAGTCTAGTAAAAGAATATAGATCAGAAGAGTCAGAAGTGCTTATCTGCACCCTTTGCTTAGATTATTGAAGCAAAGGGTTAGCATGATAGCCAGGCACTTTTTGGAAAGCAAAGTAAAGGTGTTTTTGTCAGTGAAAAAGAGAGAGGTTTAAGGCCCCATTCACCCCTGCGATCGCATGAGTCCCACAAATTCCTCTTTAAAGCTGGCCATACACCTATAGATTTTCTGCAATTTTCTATGGTCAGATGAAAAAAGTGCAACAGATTCCTCCATCTACGCTAAACTGTGGGCATGGAGGAATCTCCCAATCAGATTGTTCAGGTGTTTTGAGAGCCAGCTGGGCCGACTAGCAAGATACTGAAGCTTGGCCCAGTGTAAGAATTCTCCATCCACACAGAATTCTAACTGTATATGCAAACCTTATTAACTATGCCTTTCTGTGTGTGATAGGAACTGGGCCTTCAGCAGCTACGGGAAGGCGCCTCTGGAACAAGTCTCCGGGCAATCCTTTGTGTCCTCACTCTCTTGTTTTATCATACTTATATATCATTGATACTTGGTAAGTATAAATGGCCTTACTTATAAGGAATGTGTAAAGTACAAATGGACTTGCTTATAGGGAATGTGTAAAGTATAAATGAACGTGCTTATAGGGAATGTGTAAAGTACAAATGAACGTGCTTATAGGGAATGTGTAAAGTACAAGTAAACGTGCTTATAGGGAATGTGTAAAGTACAAATGGACTTGCTTATAGGGAATACGTAAAGTATAAATGGACTTGCTTATAGGGAATGTGTAAAGTATAAATGGATTTGCTTATAGGGAATGTGTAAAGTACAAATTAACGTGCTTATAGGGAATGTGTAAAGTACAAATGGCCTTGCTTATAGGGAATTTGTAAGGTACAAATGGACTTGCTTATAGGGAATGTGTAAGGAACAAATGGACTTGCTTATAGGGAATCTGTAAAGTACAAATGGACTTGCTTTTAGGGAATGTGTAAAGTATAAATGAACGTGCATCATCAAAGCAATGTTTGTTGAACTGAAAAAAAAACAATTGCTTGTGCATGATCTGTTTCCTAGTTTACATTGCTATCCAATAATTATGCTTTACTGCTGTTTGCTCACTATGCAAGTCTATGGGTTGGCCAAACCAATGAAAACACCCCTCTTCACCCCTCTAGTGGGAAGAGCAAGCAGGTAAAATAGTTACATCACACATTCACATCTATGCATTTTATAGCAGTGTTTTAAAGAAAAATAAAATCTTTCCTGGATTTCAGCAAAGAGCATCTTCTATTGATGATAATATAAGCACTGATTGTAAAATGCCTTTAAAATACCCAACAAATGCTGTACATGAGATGAGATTGGAGACAAAAGTAAACAGTACAGTTGAAAGTATGATGTATAGAGTATAACTAAATATGTCCTCGCTGAAAATAAACTCTCTATTTAATACCTATGCTTTTGCAGCCCCTCTATTGTCGCAGCAATGGGGCTTGATACCCCAGAAGCCATTATCTGTGATTAGAAAGAATGAATACATGTATTTTTAGGCTTTTCCTTATGTTATGGGAATATGAATGTATGTTGCCCATAGCAATGAGAAGAAAATAATGAAACGATGAAATTGGCTGCAGTTCTACTTGCTTTGTTTTAGATTTTTTTTTTTTTTTTTAATCACCCTCACTGTTATTTTCACACCTGTTCCCATATTGTTTTCATTATGTGTTTAGATGGTAATCTTGCCAGCTAGTGCTGCATAAAAGTACCCACAGACATAAGGGACAGTTGTGCCTCAAGTTTTTTTCAGCCAGGTGACAAACGTATGTCATTGGATCCCACCCATTACCATTAACCAACATCTGAGGTGGAATAGGCAACTAAATATGTTGGAATACCTCTACTGTTTCCCTCTCTTATAAGTGACCCAATTAGTGTGCCTGTATATCTGACTGCCCTCTAAAACCTATAGGCACTTAAAAGTATCCACATGCATGAGAAGACTGCGAGATTTCACCTTTGTCTGCTGGATGACGATCCTTATGTTCATAGTCGCCACCTGACTACATCTGATGTAGTTAGAGAACCAGCAATTAGTCTTCGAATTTTTCAGCTAATTTTTAAGGCCAGATTGAAGCATCTGTGCAAATACTAAAAGTTACATTAGGGTGTTGCAAAATAGAGAGTGAAGTCCGTAAGCTAACAGAAGGAGCTAGGACTTTGCTCTCTTTCTGTTTTGTTGCATGCAAATGTCATTTCTAGGCCTCATGCACACTACATATAAAAACCATTGAGTTCGGGTGTGTTTGGAGCTCATTTCTGGACGCACTAGGACTCGTAATGCTTTTTTATAACTGAATGCACACCTAGACGTCTAGAACCGTCTAGGTGCCTTCAGTCTAGGTCAGGTTACCCAAAATAGAATTTGCTGCGTTCCTGGTCCGACTAGCCCGGTTTTATGCAGCTACATGCATGTCAACGTATGTAAACGCGTATAAATGTGACTAAGCCTAACACAGGAAAAAGTGATCTGGGTGCATTAACGTTGTTTATACTTACCAGATAACTTCTGTTTGCCTTAAAACACAGCTGGCTAGTGTGCAGGTAGCCTTAGGAGATTCACTCCTCTGTTATAATATTTGACTAGTGAAGGGAAATCTTCCCAGCAGTACAGAGACAGCAAAAAAATAACCTTATGGAGGTTTTAACCCTTCCAAACTCTTAACTTTAAAAAGTGTTTTGCTTTGCATAACCCAATGCTGGGTTATCTGCCTGCTTTTTTTTCCCCAGCATGTTTTTAGCACAATCTTGAAGAAAAGGCAACTTTATCATTTCAATTATGCTGGCATGTCTGACTGCAATATACTATATATGGCCAGCTTTAATATTTCTGGTGAGATCTATTTTTTCTAAATCTAATTTTTTTAATGTGCAGCAATATTTGAAGGAAAAATGAGAAGATGAATTACTGTAAGAAATTGGTTCTGTACTATGCTCATAAGGCAATCTGATTATATAATTCTGTTTTTAGGCACTGGTGAAGGCAATCTTGAAGAAGCAGAGTCACTTATCGAACCCTACCTAGAGAAGTTCCCAAATGTATGTCATTTGTAATGTGATAAAATAATCTGGGATTCTATAATAGGCACAGTAAGCTTTAACATGTTAATATTTCCTTTTTCTCAGGGATCTATCATTCTCTTCTATGCTGCCCGAATAGACGTACTTAAAGGGAATTTTGAACAGGTAATATATTTTTTTTCTTTTTGTTTGTTATCTTTATTAAAGTCCTTTTTTGCATGCCATATTGTTTTAAAGGAAACCTTTAGTAGGAAAAATGTAGGGATTGCCAGTGGGTATCTTCATACAATATTATTTACCTGGATGTCATGCTGGCTCTCTAGTTTTATATATTTTTAGCCATAAAATATGGAGATTAGTTCTGACTTAAAGGAGACTTGCTCCATGCTTGTTCAAGGGCAGTGGCTCAAAGTACCAAAGCTGAAGAAAGATGGGCAACTCCTTAGCTAAGCTTCCCCACCTTGCTCTACATTTTTAAAATCTAATGTTTATATTAATTGTCAATGCCATTTAGCTTGGGTTTGGGGATTTTTTAGAAGTAAAATGAAGTGGTGTTTTAATCCCATCCTTGTGATTTTGAAGGCTTTCTAATCAGACCACATTGCTGCCAGTTGCTGACCATTTACATTCCTCCACTGCAGCCAAATGCATCCTGGGTTAAGGTGGTCATATAATAGTCAAGTAGCAGCAGCTCAGTGATGAGGTCATCTCTGTGCTCTTTCCTCTAATCGGGGAAACTCCACTTTTTTGGTTCACAGTACATACAGTGAAGCCTGACCTGACTTGGGCTGGCCATATGCGGCCTGAATTTTGGCCATGTCCTGCTGAATCGGCCACAATTTGAGCCATGGGTGGACCTGTCAGCACCAACTGACTTGATTAACTTCTGCTGAAAAATCAAATAAGCTGGGTAGAAAATTGTCGGCTGAACAATGACTGCATCCAGTTAGATTGTTCAGGTATTTTGAAAGCCAGTGGGGCCGACTAGCAAGATACTGAAGCTTGGCCCAGTGGGACATTTCTCCATCCACACAGTTCAGCGTAGATGGAGGAATCTGTTGCACTTTTTCCATCTGACCACAGAAAATCTGCAGATAATCTATAGGTGTATGAATGGCGATGTAAAGGGAATCACAGGAGGCCATTACAAAAACAGATTGCGGTTTCATTTAAGTCAATATATAACTGAATTTATTTGTTTTATTTCCTGCCTACACTTACACTTTAAATCTAATAGTAGTAATTAGAAGTTTTACATTTATTCTGCAAACCATTGTTTTTATCTTTGTATAAAGGGCAGCTTATTTTGGACTTTGGTGGGAAAATTGCTATATGTTCTATGTTATGGATAACTAAGAAGGGCAAAAGTGAAAAAAGCAAATTTCAAACAATTTAGGAATGTTATTCAGCGTAATACTTCAGAAGTACATACAATAGATCTGCTCGCTTGCAGTATACCCAGCAATGCACTGACCTACATATTTGCATCCTTGTTTTAGCATTCTTTAAATCTTTGTTTTGCTTCAAAATAATTAAACATTTGATATATAAAATTGTCTTTGTTGGAGAGACAACTACACAGAGCCTCATTACTGACCGCATCTTAGGGAAGAATTATACAGTCTGCTGCTTTATATCAGCCAGTCAGGTTTATCCACATTATATAAAGCGTTTGAGTGCTGAGGGGAAATTTACTTTTGTACTCCTACATTGCAATTATGAAAGCTTGCTGTGGCATGTTATAAACCACAAAGTTGAGTCAGACACCATTGTCCCATTCTAAAATTACAATAGTTGTTTGTTGTAAATAAATGGCACTTATGTAAAATAAGGCATAAAACATATATCTCCTGCAGAACATGTAAATTGTATATCTAATCTGGCTAGCACAGCTTTAGTTACTACGTTCAGTTTTGCGTTCTTGCATGGAGTTGCCATTATGCTGATGGATGTAGATTTTCAGCAATGTTAAACTGCGTAGAGCCCAGTTCATGATCTAGACCAGCCTTCTTAAAACTGCACAAAATGTGCACAAAAACCCTGGATGAATCTGAACACAACGGCTCTTGTTACACGTGGGACAGAAGATAGACTTGTAGTTTGTTTCTCATAAAATGTAAGTGGCTTTGTAAAATATACATTGTATTTCATAATCTGAGGCTGGAAAACCAGTTGTAGCTTTTTCACATTCTCCATGACAGGTCCTCTTTTTAAAAGGCAGGGGCTACACAACTTTTCAGGATGAATATGTGTAATGAACATAAATTTCAATATGCAACATGTTCTTTCTAATCAATAAAGGCCCAGATGACATTCCAGCAATGCATTAAGTCTCAGCAGGAGTGGAAACAGATTCACCACCTGTGTTACTGGGAGCTGATGTGGAGCTATTCTTTCCAACAAGACTGGCTCCAGGCATATCGCTATGCAGACCTACTCAGCAAGGAAAGCAAGTGGTCAAAGGTATGTATTGCTATGTTTTAAGCTTACACACAGTAATGGATGCAGTGTATTCACCTACAAGTGACATTTGCTTTCATTGCACTGAGGTGTCCATGTAGGAGTCAAATGAGGGTGAGCGTGGCTGTGTGTGTATATATATATATAACAATTTTTTTTTGAATGGCACTATTGGTGATCCTTCCGTCCTTTTTGTTCTCATCACCTGTTGCACGCCAGATTAAATGTTTGTTTCCCATCTGTCTGACAGTGTCATATTTGAGGCACTTGGTGATGTGCTGAAGTAGTGAAGGAGGAACGATTGAGGTCTAATACATAATAAAACCCTATTCCTTAATCAATATGTGCCATAGGACATGCTGTCAGGATCACTGATCATTTCAACAGAAAACTATGATTTTTTTTTTTTTTGTGTGTGTGGCCAATGGTCATCAAATTGCTTTTGAAACCTTTATTTTCTTGTCTGGAGTTCCTCTTAAGGAAACCAGAATAATTGCTGTTTTCTAAAGTAGGTCAGTTACTGGGTGATTATGGAGATGTTTCTAAGAGCAGTTTGCTTCTATAGCTACAAGCAATCAGATCTCGGCTTGTACTAGACGGCTGAGATGACCAGCGGCATACTGTGGTTATTCATCCCAGGAAAGGTCTGAAATGCATGCCCTTCAACTGACAAAGGACACAAACTGAACATTTACTGTGCTTTGTAGATTCCAAAAGGGTTGATGATCTGAGTGCATTTCAACTCCCTTCACAATGTTTGCTGTGGATGGATACCAAAACACAGCAGATGGTCGTTTCATTGAAGGCTTATTCTACTGAAATATCTCAGCAGGACGTTACAAAATCATCCAAAATGTTTTGTTTTACTTTTGTAAATATTGTGAAACTTTTCATTTTGTTTTAACTGCATTTCTTCATTAGAATCAAACAGAGTTTAGTTTGTAGGTAATATCCTTTTTATTTGCTATTAAAGCACATAGAAGAGCTGTAGAATCCTAAACATATACATCGTATTATATACTGGTCAGATACTTGTGTCAGCTACCACTGTATGTATCTGCAGAGATTACTTTGCTGGAGTAGGTAATCTAGAAATGCTGCACAAATTTATATGTGATACAGTGCAGGAATGGATAAGTATTGTCTATACCACACAGACTCCAACTATGTCTCTTCTAGTGCTGCTTAGAAATTTAAAAGTGAACTATGGGGTACGTGTTTTTCCCCATAGTTCTCTTTAGCTCCGTATATACTGAGAGCGCTGCAGCCGGGACGGATCCCGACAATACTGTCGTGATCCACCCAGCTGCGTCAGTGACAGCTGGCTCTGCCTATCTAGAGGCGGAGCCAGCTGTGCCCGCCCCCTCCTATGTCCATTCCTCCACTCAGCACTGGAGGATTGGAGAGGGGGAATCCCTGCAGGGAGATGATAGAGAAGTAAGCGGATCGGTGCATGTTTCTGCTCACTTCCCGAACGATAGAGCCAACCTGTGACAGCTTCTTTGTTACAGGTCGGTTCTAACTATGAGGATGAGTGGAAATCACTCACCTCATAGTTCTCCTTTAAATTAGGGCTCCAGCCATTTTCTTTAGACATGTGGATGCCTGTCTACACCGAGATTATTTTTTTGAACACCTGAAAATCTTCCAAAAGTGAACAGAAATGTTGAACAGCTCTACCCTTTTAGGAGATTTACCTTTGCCTATCTAGAGGCAGAGCCAGCTGTACCCGCCCCCCTCCCCTGTCTGTTCCTCCAGTCAGTGCTGGAGGATCGGATCGGGGAAGGGGGAATTCCTGCAGGGAAACGTGACAGTCACCGCTCACTGCAGGGAGAAGATCGAGAAGCGATCAAGCGACGGTATGTGTTCGCTCACTTCCCAATCTATTGAGCCGACCTGTGACAGTTTAATTGTCACACATCAGCTAGAACTATGAGGATGAGTGATTTTTCACTCGCCTCATAGTTCTCCTTTAATGTTTTCATGTAGTAGTAATGCACTCTGTTCTTATACTGCACCACAGTCTTTCACATTACACAGCCGTGTAAGCATTAAATGAGACCAAAATTCCAGTGAACAATTGCATTGTGTATTCTTCCATACTGTAATAGTTAAACTACAGCACGGTTTAAAATGGAACACCAACCAAAATTTTTATTTTTCCTATTTAAACCAAATGGGGAGGGTTAGCAGTCTGAGTCCGTGTTAGGGAGATTTATTTATTTTTCTCTCTCAACAGGCAGTCCAAACCAGACAGACTCTTCCCCATTCCATCTAAAATAAACTAAACAAAGAAAAGTTTTGGCTGAACTTTAACTTTTAATTGATTAAACAAATTAACATTCACTTCATTAGCTGTTGGCACATTTATTTTGTGAGCGCCAAATGATGTGACTGAGATTAAAACTGAACTTGTAGCTGAGCTCTGTGACAGTAATAAGTCCAGCTATTTTCATACCACTACCTCTCCCAGCATGACTGTTTTTATGCATTGTAATGTCAGAGAGCCTTACATTCAAAATCAGATCTTAGATGATAACAACTGATCATCACAGTTGATGATTAAATCAAGCTCTGGTCAGTTTTGTTTTCATCACTCACACTTCGCTTTAGACCTAATATTGTAAATCTAAGGGCTCATTCACACTATGCAATAGGAATCCCAAATCTCCCGTTTAGACGCAGCCGCTGTACCCTTTCAAGTTTCTGACCGAGTGACAGCGGCCACATCTGTAAGCAGGATAGATGCGTCCAGGGACAGTTTTCTATTCCAAATCACATGTAATCGTATCGCATACGATTACATGTGGACAGCTGCTTACAGATGCGGCCACTGTCGTCCGGTCATTAACATGAACAGGTGACAGTGGCTGCATCTAAATGAGAGATTTGGGATTCCTGCTACAGGAATCCCAAATCACATAGTGTGAATGTAGCCTAAGGGTGGCAATGCACATCATCCAGTGCATCCAGTTTGATGTGTTCTTCTGAAGTCTGGGCAGTGTAGAGGAGTGGTAACATGCTCTTTGAGTTGTTGTAACCCTTTAAACTAATTTTCCTCTATATTGGTTCATCTCTGGGATTTCTAGCCTTTTTTTTTTTTTTTTCTTCTGAGAAAATTTATCCAAGCATTTACTGACCATGAGCCTCCTGTTGTCAGGAAGAAGCATTCTGCATGTTCCAGCAGTAATACAAAGTTGGGCAGATGTCTCATCACTTATTATCCAAGTCCACCCAAAACAGACACCGCAAACCTGCCCGCAATCCCTGCACGTTCAAGTACCTGCAACACTTATTATTTTTGAGCATCCCAGTTATGATATTCTCCTGATAATCAATGCAGGGTGTGACCATATTGGATGGACCATTTGAAGCTGCAGACTATCTGTAGGTTTGTGCTAACGTCTGACATTTTGTGACTCTCAATGACTTGTTAATTCTTGTAGGCAATTTATGTATTCCAAAAAGCTGCAATCCTAAGCATGCTTCCTGAAGATGATGTTGCAAGCACCGGAGAAGATATAGTAGCTTTGTTCAGGTAACAATAAATTTTTTATTTGATATAAGAAAAATGTGTGAAGTATAAGAGTATCTCTACATGTACTGTATTGTGCAGTTCTTTTTAACCAGTTTCTAAATTGGACTTTTCAGATTTACAGTAGATAATTGAGAAGTGTCGAAAGCCAGAGACTGCCAGTATTTTATTAGCACAGAGTTGCACGATCAGTGTAAAGTTCCACAGATGGTTTATTTTTCTGTTCTTGCCAGCAAGCAGTACTGATAAAATTATTGTTATCGATTTTAGCTTGGTTATTTTCTCCCAGACAATCACAATAATGTTTATTGGTTTTGGCATGAAACGTGTGGAGATCGGACAGTTTGCAAATGTGGATGTCTCATGGTCAGTTGTAGATTTGCACCACAAATTGCTCAATACAGGAACTGCCAAAGTGGTGCCTCCTGTTCTTTTAGTCCTAATAGTGTTTAGAATATATATATATTTTTTTTATATAGCCCTTGTGCATAAGTTATTACTAACACTTCTTGGTGATAACCAACCCCTTTCTTCATATTGTGAGCAGTTCTCTATGTAGGATCAGTAATATCTATATAATTCTCATTAACATAGTTGCATTTTTTTCCATTAAATCAAACAAACATTGACCATTACGTTGTTAGTTTTTTTTTCAAAAGTATTTAAGACATTAAAAATAAAAACGGGATATCTTTAACCTATTTCTCATTCAAACTGAAGCAGTACTATTGCAATGACTTTGTGCTATCGGTATAGAAAAATATATTTTATTTCTTTCAGGCAAGTAGAAAGTCTCAAGCAAAGAATTGCTGGAAAGTCCATCCCTACAGAAAAGTTTGCAGTCAGGAAGTCTAGAAGATATTTGGCTGCTAATCCTGTAAAACTGGCTTTGCCAGCATTGGTGAGTGTTGTGCATGCAGATGTCAAACATGTATAAGTTGGTATCAGAAGTCTAAAGCTGGCCATACACTGCTTGCAATGTAGAGTGAAAAGTAATTTTTTTGCTCACCATTTGTTGAATGACCTGGGCCAAAAATTGTAGGCCGAACAGTGCAAGCAGCTGCGGTCACTGTTTAGAGATTCTGGCAGTCGGCACCCACAGCAATACAATATCCTTACAGGGAAGATTGCTGTTTAGCATGGATGGGACACTTACGGTAAGTCGTGGGATCAAACTGAGAAAAAAATTCCAGTGTATGCCCAGTCTAGTTAAGTTCATTTTGTTTTGGGTGGAGGGAGCTGGAGCAACCTTTTCACAGTATTTTACTATACTTTGCAGCTTAAATTTAATAAAACCACTGCTACAAATCCCCCCCAGCCATGTATCCCCTTTTGCTGCAGACAATGCTGTCTGTCCTATTAACTTCTATGTGAAATCTAGCAAGATCTGCTAAAGCTGTGTATAAAACAAGGAGATTCGATTGCTAGAGATGCTTCATGGCAATGGATATTCACACTTGCCACATTTTTTCCTGGCAGTCTCCTCCCCTTGCTGCGCACAATGCAGCTGTCACTATTTACTGGCTATAGATGTCCTGATTGGTTAACTAGTCAATCGAATGTTAAAAACGGTCATTTAATACCAAACCAACTATAAATTTGTCTGCATAGATCCAATTACTCACAGTGAATACTCAATCCAAAGCAGTCAATTGCTGTGAAAATATTATATTTGCGTTTGGGTTATGTAAAAAGAAGTACATATAGGTGACCCAAATAGGGGTTCCTCTCAGACAAAATTGCTGAAAATGCTACTGGGGTGAATGCCATTTTGAGCCACTGTTCACTGTAACAATCAGAATTATCCAACCCATCCAATCGCTTTCATCTTCAGTTCTGTTCTGTGCTGTGTTATTAATTGAGTGGAATTGAAACCGTGATTGGAGAAAAGCATGAAATTGCTAGATTTGTTCCAAATATTGAGATAATCAGTTCATGAAATGATGGGATCAGCATGTGTATGGCCAGCATGATGCCAGAACATGACTTCCCAGCAGAATCAGCATTTTGCCTTGACTTCATGTCATTTTGCTTCTCATTATAATTCGGGGTGTTTGCCTCTACAATCTGGTCTACTGAGAGATTAACATACTAAATAACCGAAACAGATAGGCTATCTTAAATGAATGTTATTGTTTATTGCACTTGGCTTCAAAATGGGCAAATAGCAGAAATCAGATTATATGTATGTCATGTCAACCTTGTAAAGCCCAGTGACACTATGTAATGCCAATAACATTCATCTCTGGCATGATTTAATTGACCTAAAGTTAACCTTGAAAATGAATGAGGTAAAGAGTTTCCAATCTGTTCCAATTGTATTACCCAGGAGCTGCAAAATCTACCTGTATCCCATATGTAATGATTTCTCTCTGTGGGCGCCCATTACATTTAGGGACCAGAAGTTGGCAACGCCCCCACACACTTTTCCGTACATCTCTCCGTTAAATGCCATTTTGCATTTCGCATGTTTTTTGTCTCTTCAGAAATATCTATTTATCCTGTCAGAAATCCAATGAGTTTGTAGCTTCCTGTGTACTCTGCTGAACTGCAAGCAGTGTTCTCAGCCCTGCTCAGATCACTTCTGTAAACGATGCCCTTTCCCCTTTGTGTTGTGCAGAAAAGTCCAAACACACTTTCTGCCCTGCGATGACAATTCTGCCTCTTCTTTGATGCAATACGGGAAGTATTGTCGCCTTAGAACAGGAAGTGTGTTACTGGCTGGACCACCAGGTGAAAAGAAAAAAGCTTGAAAAAAATAAAACGAATACAGCCACTACATCCATGGACTGGTAAGCTGTGATATTCGTGTTTTTGCATATTAGAATGCCCTGAGTTTTCTGGCTCCTGGTGAGCTAGGAAAAAGATTGGAAGATATGTGCAGGTGCTAGAGGGTATCCGTTATTTATTTATGGTGCAACACAACAATGGAGGATACAATTCATTTTTTATATTTGAAGGGTGTGTATAGTGTTTTTGTACATGTTTCTTCATTATGGAATTTAAAAAAAATTAAGTATTGCATATAAATACTTGTCATCGGATCACTATGAATCCTACAGGATCATATGAAAATTGGGTTGTCTATGTGGCACAGCAAATACCCTTGTAACTTCATAATCAGAGGAGAAGTGGACGATTTCAGGCAGGCTAAAAAATACCAGTTGCCCCCCTTTTGTAACAGATGGAGTTCTAGTCTCTTTTTCACGTGGTAAACTATTTCAGCTTTAAGAAGCTTATTCAGAGTAGGGGTAGCCAAACTGTCCCAGTGGTGAAACTACAAATCCCTTCATGCATGTGCCTCCGGAGGTTGAGGCTGTCGAGAGCCTTGCAATGCCTAATGGGTTTTGTAGTTTCACAAAGCTAGACTGACTAAGTTTGGAAACCCCTGTTTTAGAGAAGTCATCACAGCAGTGACTCCAATATCGGAGCTTTTGTACCAGGATTTCATCAAGGGGGGCAAATCATGCTTTGTTTAATGTGATGTCTCTTTAGATAGTGCATAGTGCTTTGCGATCATATTAAATGTTTGAACGATTTCATACACACGTGCAATCTTTTCTTTCACAAATATGTAGAAACATTTTATTGTTTCTCAGTATTCCGTGCATATGAGCAATAGTACCATCTTGTCTTGAATTGTATTGTGATTGTAATGTCTTCCTTATATTGTAAAGCGCTGCACAAACCGCTGGCGCTATATAAATCCTGTATAATAATAATAATAGTATTTTGTAGTCAGGTTGCAGTATCCTATTCTATTTACAATTGTGGTTTCTGTCTCCGGTATTCATGTGTGTTTCTTATGTTACAGGAAATGATGTATGTGTGGAATGGCTTTACAATAGTAGGGAGAAGGTCTGACCTCACAGAAAACCTCCTGGTTACAATTGAAAAGGCAGAAACTGCTTTGCAAAAAGACAAAAGTAAGTTTGAATGTGTAAAGGAGCATTTTAATGAACTAAAGCAGCGATCGAAGTTTACTTTCCAATATACTCTCTATAACGTGGCATTTACCTTGCAAATTAAATGTATAAATGGAGACAATGGTGTGTTTTGGAAGATGTATGACGATGCTGGGTTTTTGTTTGCTCATGTATTATTTGTAGACTTTTTATATCATCTGCTGCTGCCATGTTGCACTTTTTCTCATATTATCCTATAAAGAGACCTGGAAAATGTGCACAGTTCATAGACCATAAATACTTGTCATTGGATCACTATGAATCCTACAGGATCTTATGAAAATTGGGTTGTCTATGTGGCACAGCAAATACCCTTGTATTTCAGAGGAGAAGAGGACGATTTGAGGCAGGCTAAAAAATGTCTGATTACCAGTTGCCCCCCTTATGTAGCAGAAATAAGAAACACTTGGTGTAATGTTGTCATATACATATACACACTTGATAAAAAAATAATGCAGATGACTACTTTTCAGTTCTGTCATGCAACGCTGTACCAAAATTAATTTTATATCATATTTTGGGGACACATAGAGCTTTCGTTTGGTGGTATTTAATCACCCGGGGTTTTTATTTTTTTTTACTATATATGAAAAAAGTTCCGCGGGCGGGGGGGAGAGTTTTCCCTACGTAATGTTATAAAACATTTATTACTACCCATTTTTTTGTAAAATATAAAGGATGGGGTAACCCTTTGGGTAAATAGACAACAGATGTGTCAAGCCTTAAAATTGTGCGCACCCGTGAAATCACAATACACGGCCATACCCAAAATTGGTCATAGGTGATGCTTTAAAAGCTTTTACCGCTCATCATTTTAGTGTTAACAGTGATTGATGGCCCTAAAATTATTGCTCACACTCAGACGTTTGCGGTGATATTGTAACATGTGCGGCACAAAATATACAGTAGCAGGTCTTCTTTATGGAGATATCTGGGGTCTGTTACCCCTAACACCCCCTGCTGTCACCTAGGGACCACCAAATAAGCTGATAAAGCATAACTGCTTCACCAGCTTTTTCGCCAGCTACAGAAGCTGGAGAAAAGACAGGTTGATAGCAGAAGTGATGTAACACGCATGACTTCTGCATTCAGAGATCAGAGGGGAGATCAGCAGTTGGAAGTGTGCTGATCTCCCTCCAATCTCCATTCAGAGAGCCATTGTGCATTCCCAGAGCTCACTCTTTGTTTGCCTGAAGAAGGGACCATGTGGTTCAGAAACGTCGCTATGATGATGTGACACTACAGAGGTCAATAAACATTGACTTAAAGACAAGTTGGAGTGCGAGTGACCTTCCTTTATTGTACATTGATCTGCAGAGACATCTGCTGTCACTCTGGCACCCACCCGATACTTAAGGATACAATCCGGTCAGGAGTGCGATGGGTCCCATTTGAATATTGAAGACCCAGTTTCCCAGCGCGCACGAGCGGGAACTGACATTTAAAAAGGCCCTCCTGCATTCGAAAGTGACCCGTCTGGCCATTTAAATACAATGGCCGGATGTGAAGGGGTTAAGGAACTAACCCAGACACTGTATGCAGATTAGGAGTTCTGACTTTGCTGATCTGCATACTTGTCCAGAATCTGTGACCCTGGGGAAGTATTGAAACCAATTGGTCACCATAATTGCCAAGCAGCTAGCATTTTAAGGAGTTTAGTGGCAGCCTCCATATTTCTTTTGCACCATTTTGTTAAAGGTGGCTAAATGTCAGGGAAAAGCTTGATCCGCCATCCAATGTTAGATAATGTCATATCTTACTATACTTACTGTCCAGCCACTTAACAAAAATGTAGAGATATGTTTTGAAGTACAGAGATGCAATGACTTGCCTCTATTGGCGTATGATTTTGTACATGTATTTGTAATTCATTTTCATTTTAAGAAATGTTTCATTATAACCTTTTTTTAGGTCCAAGTGAATACTATGGAGATGACCAATGCCTTGTTCAGTTGTTAAAAGGTCTTTGTTTGAAGCATCTGGGGAGATTATTACAAGCAGAACTTTGTTTCAATCAAGTCATACAGAGGTAAGGGCATGATGTGTTTATACCGTGACTGCTCTCGTTATATTTTAGGTGATCTCCCCTGGACTATGGCACATAGTCCATCTGGTAACTACTGGAATAGACATCTGGTTTAAACTGTAGACTTTGGGATATATTTAATAATATCATTAAAAATTATTTGGTCGCTGTGATTGACGGCTCATAATTTACTTAATCTTCCAATAATCTAGTGTAGGCCAACTAACTTTACTAACGTTAGGTCATTGCAAGTTGTACCTTTCCTGTTATTCCTTTAAAGAAGATCTCCAGGAACAATGCTCACTTGAAGCTCCGAGCTGGCCAGCTGTTACAGCGCTACCTCCAGCCTGTCTCCTCCACAGCATTGGAATCTTCCTCGGTGTCCTCACATCTGTACAATGAGGGGAATTAATCCAAACTGGAGCAGCTGCCCATAGTAACCAATCAGCTTCTCTCTTCAGTTTGTTCAGTTAAGATTTGAAAATAAAAGAAAGAAGCTGATTGGTTGCCATGCACAGCTGCTCCAGATTTTGTCTGCTCCAGCTTTTATACATTTCCCTCAGTGTATAGACATGATGATTTACGGGACCTAGACCACTGCAAAGGAGGGAGAAGGGGGAGAAATTTGAGAAGTACCGGTCGAAAAAGAAGCTGCCTCAGAGCTTCGGGTGAGTATAACTTTTTTCCCCTCTTTTTAACCTAGATGCAAACGAGCACTTAACCTTTGCAGTGCATGGGTAGCCCCACTGCAAGTTTTAATTTAAAAAATCCTGGCGTTCTTCTTTAAAAAAAGACATCCCACAATTGTCAGTAACAACCAGAAAACATAAAAAAATGTTGACAGCATTAAAATGATAAAAGCTGATCTGCAATTGTTTGCTGAGGGGTAATACATTTCATAGCTAATACTATAGAACAGTGCAGTTATGGAGTATAGAACTTTTGTCTGGATTCTGCTATCTCTCTTGTTTTACCTTTTTCAGTGAAAAGAGACTAAAGTATGACCACTATTTAGTCCCATTTACTTACTACGAATTGGGACTATTGTACAAGCAACAAGGAGACAAAGATAAAGCCATACGGTTCATTGAAATGGCAAAGTGAGTACTGTTTATCATTTTAAAATTGCCCTGTTGTATGCCTTACATTTTCTACAAAGGGTGTGTGGTAAATATTGGTAGTGTATAGAAATGCCTGTCCTTTTTTTATGGACTCGCCTAGTTGAATACAAACCTCACCTAGTTCAGCAATCCAAGAAAAAAAATATTGGATGCAGTAGTGAAAGAGCAAGGCAGAAGCTGCAACAGCCAATGAAATGCTAGTATTTTTTCCCTAATCAAAACCATAAAATGGGCAGATGAATTACTGTAGAAAAACTGATCAATTTTCTTTTATTGCTTTAAATCGATCAACAGTAGTGTTCTTCCTTTTGATCATTTCTATAAGTACCCTTATGATCCTTTCAGATTGCTTACTGTGGTAGGAGTTGGCTTCAGCAAAAGTGAAGTTGTCTTCATGTATTCTGTATGATCAACACTGGAATTCATATTCATTGACGCACTCAAAACATCCATTTTCACCATACAGAACAATGGGCTTGTTTTATGGGCATGCCTTTTCTCCAGTCATCTTCGTGATAACCACATCAGTGTATATAAAGGGAACAGAGATATGGAAATTGAAATTGCTTAATAATAAAAGTCAAGAACTGGTGTTCTTAACCTTTCTTCACTGTTAAGGGCTTGTTTACACTAACATGTCCACGAAAACGCAGCGTTTTAGCAAACAGGCTAGTGTGTTGTGGCAGCTATTGCAGTGTGCGTTCAATCACACACTGACTAAGCTGTCATTTCTTTTTTTTTTTTACTTTATTGATAGTAGAGGTGCACCGAAAAAGAAATTAAAAAACCGAAACAAAACCGAAATAAAAAAAATTGTCAGGCCGAAACCGAAAATGTTTTTATTTTAATGTTTTCAAATTGTTCAAATATTTTTATTTTTTTATAAACTTTTTCAATTTTTTTCAATTTATTGTATTCATTTTTTATTAAATATTTGTATTTTTAAATTTACTTTTAGGGGCTTCGGGAGAAATATTGCGGGTCTAGACCCCTGATTATTTCCCTTTTTAAAAATAGAAAAAGAGATTGAGAACACAAAGTCCTCCATCTCTTTTTTTATCCCCTGTTATCAATGAACAGGAATCCTCTGTGACACTTTCTCTCCACCCCGCTGGGACACAGAGCAGCACCCAGCGTGAAGAAAAGAAAGCAGGGATGCGCCGATGTATCGGACAGTAAAATGCCACTTTCTGCATTCAGCCAAAAGTGGCATTTTCGGCCGATATGCTTCGGTGGCCGAAATATCGGTGCATCACTAATTGATACTGTACAGTGTGCACTCCATTCAGGTCCCCACACAGCGGCGCTTTTCTCCAAGCACTGCCCATCACACATGTTGTGGTGTGATCAGGGCACATAAAGAAGAAAAAAAAAAGCTCTCATATTTATTTATTGATGGATTCCTTCTATTTAGTGTAAACGTTTGAGGATTGTACTCCTGCATTCTTATTACTTGGCTATTTGTGTTTGATAAGAGAAATAGTCTATAATAGACTGCCAATCAATGTATCTTTTTATTTACAGAAACAATTACAAAGATTACTCCATGGAATCAAGACTGCATTTCCGGATCCATGCAGCACTCAGCAGTCTTAAAGGCACCCCTCCATCTACCCCTCCATGATCAAGTGGCACTGCACTCCTTTTGTACACAGGCATTTCAGCTGCTGGGATGAAGTACTAGAATCAGCACCTTTAGCAAAGGTGGAGATTAAATTTGTTCAACCTAAACTTAATGACTGTTATCCTGTGTGATTTACTGTTGTTGAATATAGCTGTTCTTTTCTATGGTAATTGTACTATAAACATATAAATATATATAAATACACATACATTATATACTTAAAAGAAAAAATAAAAGAAGAAAGTTGAAATATATATTTTGTTTCATGAAAGAAATAATTTATGGCCATACTGACTTGAATGAAATAATTTTACAGGCAGATACTGATGTAGTAAAGTCTGATACAAACAAAACTGTTTCCTCTTGTGGTGTTTCCTTTTGTCTGTTTCACCTGATAATTGTTGGTCTTTGGTTCGTACAAAAACACTGTCTGAGTTGCTTCTTTATTTTCCAGTAAGTCCTACAAAAATAGCAGACAACTATACATTTTCTGTAGTATACAAGAAGTGATTTTTTTGTTTTGTCTTTAAGAGGGAATAATGAATGTGAACTTTCCAGATGCTGTCCAAAAGGTTAATGCATGTTCTTTTCTTATCAGAAAGTGCTGCATATACAGTATAGCTCCTGCTAACCCACATCCACTCTCTAAAACTGATCTTTCTTTTTTCCTCCCGGTTACATAAACATTGCAGAGTGTGACTAACTGCTGCATGCAGCGCTGTTTGCCATGACAGCGAGACAGTAGTGGTGGGATCAGGGCTGGATTAACATAGGTCTGCTAGCTCCAGGCCCACCACTGAAAATAGACAATCCGGGCCGGTCGGGCTGAACACAATCTGGGAAAGGCGCTGGTGGCTCGCTAATCAGGGGGCCACTCACTGGGGCCTCGTGGGGCACCAGTCAGGAGCGAGTGGCCACCTAATTAGAGAGCTGCCACTGCAATGCAGAGCTGTAGGTGGCCATCATGTCACAGTGTGTTACTTGGCCCATGCTTTCTCTCTCCTCACACAGGATATCCCATCTTTCTGTAGTTCCTCTCAGTCTCCCCCATGTCTCAACCTCCCTCATTCCTCCCTGGGCTGCTCATAGCAGACTGTAGACGCCATAGCGACCCAGGTGGCTGCTATGGGGCCCGGGGCAAAGGGGGGCCCTGCCAGGACGAGGAACATAGGGCTCCCTCTGATGCCATGCGGCCTACCTCGGTCGCTATGGCATCACAGGCTGCTGGCTGTCACTTGCGGCTGTGAGGAGGAACGAGCCGCTGTCTAGATCACCGACAACCTGTCTGTGACCAGCGAGCCTGAGACCCTGCAGAGCGCTCCATAAAGAGTCTATGGTGGGCTCTGTAGGGTCACTCTCAGGTGGGCTGTGTGGGATCTCAGGTGGGCTCTGCAAGGGGCGTAACTAGAAATCACAGGGCCCCATACAAAATGTTGCTATGGGGCCCTGTGATTTCTAGTTATGCCCCTGGTAGATTGGCTGAATAGTTATCTATGACCCGAGTAAGTAGTGTGTTGTGGGGTTCCCTGTACAGCTCTGAGTTGAATAGTGATAGTTCTCAGGTATAATATCTGAAGTGAGTGTGTGCTGGTCTGGCACAGAACAGGTTAATGGTCATTGTGTCCTTCGAATTATACTTGTGTTGTTGGGTGTTGGTGTGATCTCTCCACCTGTGTGTTCAGGATCACATGTAGTGTAAACACACGGGCAGCCTGGGGAAAATGGGTACTGTGCTGAACAAAACTACCATTTCACTCTTTGTAGTTGTGCGTGTGTGTAATGTGGTGCAGCCAGAGCTCTTTGTGTCTTGGGTGTGTGCACTGGGCTCAGTCTATTCTATATCATGTTGTATCAGAAATTAGTGAGGGGCCGGAGATGAGAGTGGACAGACAGGAGCGGGAGATCTTAGGGGACAGCCAGTTGTCGGGAATGAGATGATTACCTGAGGGAACCTGAGCAGTGGCGATTGGAAGTGGGCAGGCAGGGGCCATTGGTGTGAAGGGGGCAGGCAAGGCTGGCACTAGCTTAAGGCTGCATAGGCAGCCACCTGAGGGCACCATGGGGCAAAAATGCACCTTTGCCTGTGTAGGCAAAAATCCGACCGACTGACAGTACTGAGGCCCATGGTGCTCTTAATTCGGCCCTGGGTGGGATCACCACTCCTATGCTAAGCTGAGGCTGCTAAGAAGAGGAGAGGCATACGGTGGTTTTCTACAAAGAAACAATCAACTAATGCCCATTTAAGGTTGCTCTTGATAATATTGATGTATACGTGTGTTTTCTTGCCTTCCAACTGCTGTACACTGTTAATTTTCTTTTTCGGTGGAATGCCCTGCACCTTTAGTAGGTTATAACCTGTGATTTCTGGTCCTGCTAATTTGGAAGATGTTAAGTAAATTAGCAACAAAATGTAAGTCAACTTATCCACAGTGTCAACAAAGGTTATACTGAAGTATACAATGTCACTTAGGCCAAGAACACACAAGCGTCAAAAAGGGCCACTCATGCACAGTACTACTACTGAGCGTTTTCCAATGGCCACTGCAGCATATTGAACCCATAGTACAGTAAATGGTATACTTTTGTAGATGTGACTTTGACCTCAAGTCTGTCTGTACTAATGAACAGATGTGACTTAAAGAAAATGCTAGTTGCTTTTTTTTCCATTTTGATAAGTGGCTGCTATAGTCACTGACCTAAAAAAGAAAATAGTCTGAGGATCAGCAAGATAGCCAGGTATAAACTAGTATTTTCAGTAGTAGGTCAACAGAGAAAACATTCTCTCCCAGATGAGTTTTAAATATTACAAGGATTATAGCAAACCTTATTGTAGTGTGTTACCTGTTTCAAGGTAAAAACTAATCTGAAGGGGAAAAAATCCTTTTTGGTAATCCAATAACTCCTGGATCAATATTCTACAGTGTTATTTCTTACAAGTATCAGTGGTTATTTATACTTTGTGCTTTTAGAAACCCACCCAACCTTTTGTCTGCGAGAAACGGTTTTTGAGATAAATTTTTCTCTTCAGCAAGGAACAATGTGAGGAGTTTTCAATTTTACAGTTGTCAACAGAACAGGAATCGACAGGTAATCTCCCAACAGGAACTCTTGTATTAACAACTGTCAAAGGTGAACCCTGTCCTCTAACTTCCTGTTGTGCCTCTGTATTTTCCCTAATGGAGGCAGAAACAGCAAAAAAAAAAAAGACTGGTTCTAACCCAGCCTTTCACAACCAGGGTTCTTCCAGAGTTTGCTAGTAGTTTCTTGAGCAGTGGTGGATTAAAGCTCCACCTCACAGTGTATGCATAGTTCTGGCACCAATGCTACTTGGCAGAGCCAGCGGCATGGCACCAGTGGAACGTCTTTTTTTTTTCTCTTCAGGTAAGTAATCACTGACCCTACTGATGTTGACTGTGTGTAAAAAAAAAAAAAAAGGGCATTCTTTCCATTGACCACTAGTGTAAGGTAGATTTTCAACAGTGTATGAAAGCATTATCCTGACCACCACTGTAATCGGTATTCTTTTTACTCGCCACCAGCGTTAGGGAACCGTTCATCAGTGACCGCCAATGTGAGGTAAAATGGTTGAGAAAGGCTGCTCTAACCTTCCCCCACTTTATCAAGTGTGAGTTGGTCCTAGAAACAAAGTTGTGGCAGGAATGTGGCACTGTAAGGAGGGCAGTGGAGCAGAGAGAGTTTGGGGTAACCAGTTGGAATGATGGTTTACTTTTCAGACCTGGATTGCAGAAATGAGACATGGAGTTTGGATTGGTTGCTATGAGTAATGAATCTCTTTTCCTGTACCATGCTTTGCATACATACTTATAAGGGCTAACACAATGGCATTGAGGTTTACATTAATTCATCACCTCGGAGCCAGCAGCTTTGTAGCAGATGTAGATGTTTGCCCCGGATGTTGACGACTTATCATGGTTGGGCCTTCACCAGAGTATTGTCAGGGGACAAACTGATCTCAGCGAGAGGTAACAAATGCATGCAAGTGTGACTTTTACACACTACATAGCATGCTCCACTTTGTATGAAAATATATCTGACTGTAAGGTCAAATGCAGTGATACAGTATATTGGCAGACTTCAAAAGGACATGGTAAGTTTCTTGGTAACATATCTACTTTAGATTTCTAAGAAGAGTACTTCATTGTACACATATTCTGACTGCTAGAATATACAGTATTTTATGTGACAGTTGGAGACAGGCCAAGTCCACACAATTGTGCTGTGGTGTGTTATGAAGCGATGCATTCTTCCAAATGCATTTGTGGTGCAGCGCACAGTAATGCACAGCAGTGTATTGTGGTGTGCTACAATAGAAATAGTGCATTTACTTTTTTTTGTGTCTGCCTATTTAAATAAATGAGTTGTCTTACGCAGCAAGCACCGATTAATGCTTGTATCAATGCATCCCAACAGTGTGAATCATAGCTAAGGATAGCATTACAGAAAAAGCAGTTTGGTATGATCAGGGCAGCAGCTAGAAATGACTGCAAAAAGCCCCCAATAATATTGAGGACAAAGGGCGGCGATGAGGATGGTCACATACCAAGTACTGTACTAAGTACAAGTACAGATATGTTTCCAGCTCCAACACTAGACTAGAGATAAATGTAAAAGTTAGGAGACAGCTGCCATTTATTTTAAAGGAGCACACAGAGCTCCTGGGATTTGTACCTTCCTGTTTTATTTATACATACACTATATTGCCAAGTATTGGGACGCCCCTCCGACTCATTGGATTCAGGTGTTCATGAAATTTCCTTGCTACTAAATATTCCACGGTCACTTGTTAGTGGTATTAAAACAAAGTGGAAGCAACTGGGAACAACAACTCCCCCACGAAGTGGTAGGCCACATAAAATGACAGCGGGGTCAGCGCATAGTGAGCAGAAGTCGCCAACTGTCTGCAGAGTCAATAGCTACAGACCTCCAAACTTCATGTGGCCTTCAGATTGGTACAACAACAGTGCGTAGAGAGCTTCATGGAATGGGTTTCCATGACCGAGCAGCTGCACCCAAGCCTTACATCACCAAGTGCAAGGCAAAGCGTCAGATGCAGTGGTGTAAAGCACACCGCCACTGGACTCTAGAGAAGTGGAGACGTGTTCTCTAGAGTGACGAATCACAATTCTCTGTCTGGCAATCCGATGGACGTGTCTGGGTTTGGCGGTTGCCAGGAGAATTGTACTTGCCTGACTGCATTGTGCTAAGTGTAAAGTTGGGTAGAGGGGGGATTATGGTGTAGTGTTGTTTTTCAGGGGTTGGGCTTGGCCCCTTAGTTCCAGTGAAGGGAACTCTTGAAGCATCAGCATAGCAAGACATTTTGGACAATTTCATG